AACTCGAGCCAGCTCCATGCTTCGAATTCAACTGAGCTTCCAATTTTTAACACAAATTACAAAGTGTTTCAAAATAGGAATAGGGCTATAATTCCACCGTATGAGCAATGTTGTAGTTAAGCCCCCTAAGAATGTGTGCCATTTTCTGTTCTTCCACATCTTCAATATCTATCATCAATGATAGTTTTTTGAATTCGTCGATGTATTAACAGTTCATTTTACCTTGCTTCAAATCGACAATCCTCCTATCGGTTGTGATCATATAGTTGGTTGGGACGTATCTCGTCCGAAGATTTCTCTCAACGAATCCCACGAAGAAATTTTTTCTGTACCTTCACGTGCTCTCTTGGCCTTAAGCCCATTGAACCAAAAAGAGGCTCATCTACATAATTTCAGAATTGCATACTTGCAACGCTTCTCGTCGGCCAACTCCTTGAATTGGAACATATGTTCCAACTTCCTTTCGCAATACAGGTATCATTCTGGATCGGTACCTCCAATAAATTCTGGTAATTCTGTCACCATAACATCATCTGCCCGGTGTAATTCTTGCCTGGGTTGTCTTCTATTTGGTTCTTCGGCTATATTCCTCAATGCTTTGACTATCGTTGGCTTTGACACCACAACTGATGCATATTTGGACCTCAAACATGACTCTTGCAGCGGAACAAAGAACACTTGACTCAAAAGGAAAGAAAAAGTAACAAAAAAGGAAGATTTGAAGTCCAAACTAGACCTATAGTTTGAATATTTGGTGAAAACAAACCAAGACCTATTGGTTTGAGTTTGAGATCAAAATCAGGAGGCGCATCCCGACCAAGATCAAAGTTTGAATCGTACGTAACAATTCGAATGAACACAAGTTCAAAGTTTTTATCTTTCAATCAACTACTTATCAAATGGTAGAAATTGTCTTTTATAGCCTTACAAAAGAAACGTAAAAGAAATTCAAAAGAAAACTAAATAATTATGCCCATTTTAAGGCTTATTTAAAACATTAAAGATTTATTAAAAGAAATTCGTTTTCCAATAGCTCTTAAACCTTCTGAGGTGTCTTTTTCAGCTTCTGAGGCTTACAGTTTCGAGGTGACTTTTAGTCTTCTGAGGCCTCACATTCGCATCCTAACTCCCTGGTCTGGAAGTCACCTTCGCATCCGTTCGCATCCAAGTTCCTCTTCACATCCAAACTCACCTTCTCCACGTTCCACAAATGAATGCAAACAGCTTCGCAACGAAACACTTCCAAGGATTGCAACCAGGTGCGATCGATCGCATCTAGTCGCGAATGGATCACAACCATCATTCAAATATTGTTCTTAACCATCAAGAGTCCAAATGGATTCACATTCAATTGAAAAAATGGATCACCTTCCATACATGGACTAGACCTGAAGTGACTTTCGCATCCACCTCCCAATTTCGCATCAGACTCTCCTTCTTCAAAAGGAATTGACCTCAATTCCAGAAGGCCCTTATAACTTCTGGGAAATTCAATCTTGAAAACACATTCAGTATGAACCAACTGCACATCCCAATCTGTTTGTGATTTGTCCACCAGCCTTCTCAACAATGTGTTAACCAATAATTTAGTTCCCCCTTTCTCCACAAAGCATTCCAGAAATACTTTAAGAATTTAGAATCATGAACTGAAACAATCGCCTTGGGAACTCTATTAAAACGCACCATCTTCAAAATCATCTTGAACCAAAAGAAATGCCCTTTTCAACATTTCCAAAAGCTTCGTTATACCAAAGTTGTTAGCTAAACCACTACCGTGTGTTTCTTGCCTCAATAACCTTCGGACAACACATTTTTGAACACAAATATTGTTTCCATGGCTGACAACACCATCACGCACCAAAAACTCCTCTTGGCACCATCAACACATTTTCTGCTTGAAAATAATTTCCACACTTGTGAAAAATAAAAATCATGGACATAATGAGCATATGCATGAGGTTTGGCGTTGCACAATAGGATTATCCCATGATTCTTGAACTTAAAAAGATAAAAGAACTTTAACGTATGAACAATAACCACATGTTTCCTATCCACTCCAAGGAATTTCGTATCTATCCAATTGCAATGATAGTGACTTCTCCCTGATTGCAATGTCACATCTTACTCAATCACGTTAATATAGCTTACTCGATCGCAATGATGCCACCATTCGTAATGATTCCACCAATCACAATGATACATACAATCGTAATGATACAGCCAATCGCAACGATACCTCCATTCACAATGTTGTTGAATCTTCTCTAATCATAGCGATGTTAACACGTTCTTCCTCAAACAATGTAAAAAACTTGTAGATCGTGCCTTCCACTTATGGATCAAAAACCACTTTCTTATACCATGCTTAGGACTCTACAAAACAACCTTGTAATAATTTAAAGGATTAAATTAGGCATTCGAAAGAATGGACCATGATTTGTATTGGTAAATTTATGATCATCACGCCCCATCATCAAAGCTTCCCAATTCAAAGTACACCAAAAGAATATAAGCCCCACATCAAAAGCTCATTCATATACAAATACTTGGGATTTGGAACAACATATGGATTAGAACTTTCACGTTCAACACCTATCTTCAAAGATTTACGAACTGGCTTTCACAACTCCTTGGCCTCATCTGAATCGCACGCAACCTCATCAAACATAATCACACCTTGACACTCCATGGGAAAATTAGCCTTTAGGTCTTCTTCTCGTACCATTTGTTCCACTTTCGTATCCTTCTGACCCACAACCAGATCCTTAGATTCTTCAACCTTCTCTTCAACGTACCTTTCAATTGTCAACAAAGTTAAACTCAGCTTTCGGACCTGTTCATTATTTGTTGGCTTCACGGTTGTAAACGAAATACGTTCTAGGTATTCGTTTTGCCGCTCAATTAATTTCTTCAATGACTTCTTCATTCATATCGGCATTAGCAACAACATACTTTGGGGACTCGTACTTTTCCTCTTCAGTTTCACGAGCTTCTTCAAGTACAACAGTTTCACCCAATCTTTCTTCTTCCATCGATTCATTATTAAATTTAGCCACAACAACAGATTCCTCAAGCACAAGAGTAGATTCTTCAATCACATCCGATTTCCCTAGCCCTGATTCAGAATTTTTATGATAATTTGTGATTAGGTAAATTGTTGGAGCATACCTTACCCATATTTTGCACTTTAAATCTCCCATGATGATATTTCCTTATTTCCTTCACGAGTTCTCCTTCTTTTTAAGTCTTGGAACCACAACGAAGCTCCTCCCTTTAAATTCATGATCACATATTTACAGCTTAACTCATCATTCAACCCTTTGAACTTTAAAATTATTTCGATCTTCTCTTCCCAATCCAAATATTCTTCTAGGCTGAATCCACCAACGAACTTAGGCAAGTCGTTCACATTAATGCCTCCTACTTTCTTTGGCTTTTATCGCCTTCCTTCTTCTTGTAATCCACAACAGATTTCACACAAGACATTCAGAAAAGCTAGATCTTCAAAATCCATGGCCTCTGAAGCGATTTCAACCTTCAACAGTAACAATAAATAAACAAACTTGTTGAGTCACAATAGCAACACAAAATCAAAAATCCACCAAAATAGTAGATTTTGATAACGAATGAACTTCAACAAACTTAGCAAGATTTTCGTCTCTAACAAAACTCAAAAAAAATCTTTTTTTTTCTGAATAGCAACATCAATTGGAACCAACGATACTTATTAGGAACTTGGGGCTCTGATACCAGACCTGATGCGTATTTGGACCTCAAACACGACTCTTGTTGCAGAAAAAAGAACACATGAATCAAAAGCCAAGAACAAGTAATGAAAGAGGATAGATTTGAAGTATTTTGAATCTTCAGTGAAAACAAACCAAGACCTATTGGTTTGAGTTCGAGATCAAAATCAGGAGGCGCGTCCTAACCAAGATCAAAGTTTGAATCGTAGGCAACAATTCGAATAAACACAAGTTCAAAGTTTTATATTTCAATATCGGATGCTTACAAATGATTACCAAATGGTTTTATATAGCCTTACAATTAACAGATAAAAGAAATGAAAAGATACCTAATTAACCATGCCATATAATGGTTTTATTAAAAACATTAAATATTTATCTAAAAATAAATAAAGAAAAACGACTTCAGCAATAACTGTTCAGCTTTCGAGGCGTGGCCCTTTCTGAGGCGACTCTTAGGCTTCCGAGACCTCGCATTCGCACCCTAACTCCTCGGACTGCCTATAGCAACAAAACCCCTCGCAACCAAGCTTCTATTCGCAACTAATCTCCCTTTCACAACTAGGCTTCCACTCGGACCCAATCTCCCGTTCTCAACCATGCTCTCCTTCACAACAATACACAAATGAATGCGAACAACTTCACAATGACATTGAACATCAACTAAATACAACCGGGTGCGATCGATCGCAACCATCAACAGTGAGACCTGGTTTACACCCATCAGTGGTCCAAATAGGGTCGTAATTACCAAACAGAATTAGATCGCCTTCTACGCTGAAGTGACTGTCGCATTCACCTTCATATACGTTTCTGGAAGGATTGATCCTCGAGACCTTGTGTCAGAGAATGTGATTTCTACTCAATATCCTTCGTCATCGGTTTTTCCAGTTGAATCCTCATTACATCTCATCGGGTTTAGAGTGAATGTATTTTCAATGGACCAACTTTTAGGTGATATTGATGTTCCTGTGGACAATGGTTTTTTTATCTACCCCTCTCATCACTGATGTTAATGTCGAGTTGATTTCTTCTTCCGTTGTTGTTCCAAATATTTTCCCTGGGTAAACATAAACGGTCATCCATTTCTTATAGTTTTGAGGAATTATTTCTAGAAGTGACTGATCAGTCCACTTCGAAGACAAGTGATTTGACTGGCCATTGAGATTCTGCTATCTTAATTCTAGATGGTGAGTTTTATCCGTAACCATCCATACTCTATTTTTTGTTGTTTTATATATTTTGAAGTCCCTGATGTGTGTTGTAGGATCCTGCCGATCTTGTGATTTGCTACGTGAAAAACTTGACGAGGCTTGTCAAGTTATAACTCGTGCTGAGGATATTTTGGCTAATGTGAACAGGAAAAAATCAAAATTGTATGATGGAATCTCAAGTTTGCATGATCGGTATTTATCTTTCGAGGAGAATTTATGTACATTTGAAGGGGTGAAGTTAGTTGGTGAAGAAGTGTTATTTGAATCTGGGAAGCACCATGTCAAGCTAAGAGACCGATTTCATGTTGCGTCTGAGAGGATAGTTCCTTTAGAGACTCAACGATCTCTCTTGGAAGCTAATTATGAAGTTTTCCTTCGGGAAAACCATGTTCTTCGTGCATAGCTTGCTGCGAAGTCGTCTTGAATGTTGTTTTCTAGGATGGTTACGTTTTTGTACATTTCAGCAACATTTCTCTAGAGATAGTTTATAAGTGTAACCATTCTACTATTTTTTTTTGTTCCTGTTATGCATAACTTTTTACTAATGTGTTTGACAGTCAATATTGTTGGGTTTTGAGCACTATAACACTTCTATGGTGCACATGCAACCCTAGATGCTTTGGATCTAAGTTTTCTCTATTATACATGCAATATTGTTTCCAAAGCATGAAGCCTAAACTAGCATACAAAGTTTTGAAATATACAACATAAAACCAAAATAGATTAATACCTCTTAGTGTAGCTTAGAGTTCTTGGCCTTCAAAAGCTTTAGCACCTCAAATGTGATGCCTATAATGTGTCACAAACACCAAGTGCAAAAGGAGGCTTATGAGAAGTGGCTAGGTAGCTCAAAATCGGTTATAAATCTTCTTAGAATGCATGGGGCGGATTTTGGTGACTATGGGGTTGCTTTTATAGTGTGGCAAAGCCTAAGGTTACATCCATGCAAAGCCTAATTCACATGACCCTTCATATTTCTTAGGTTACATGGGTTAAACCTTTATGGAATATCACATATGTTTAGCCCACCCTAATCAACCATGGATCATTAGCCCAACTATAAGTATTACTGATTTACATAATTAGTCCCCATATATTTAATCATTCTCTTTTGATCACTAAATTAATTCCAAATTAATTCTTGATCAATACTAATTAAATAATATGATTTCTCAACTAATATATTATACTTATAATATATTAATAAACCACAAATAACCTCTTCTCAAAGAGTCTATCCTATCAAATTGCTCTGGTGAAGGCAACCCAAAAGGACCATGCTGCAATCGGGTCAAGTACATACCGATTATAGTTATGGGCTTAGACACATAATCCAACAGTCTCCCACTTGGATAAGTCTAATAACTATAATTGCCAATGCATCTTCAAAATCCGATTAGCAATCGTAGCTCTCAAAAGCCGCTGTCAAACTCTGACCTAGTCAGTGACACACCCTTTAGATAAGGGATCGTATAATCCTCTGTTCTACAAGATATCGTGTGGACAAATACATGGAACATAGTCATACTCATTGTCCAACATTTTGTTTCCCGATTTCCGATTTGTTTCACATAGAACTTAATTGAACACATCAATTGAGTCCTGACCGGGCCATGCACATAAGCCAAAACAAAATCATCGAGGTGCCCAAGATATCGCTTTTAATCCTCCTAGGATAAAACGAACAGATAAACTTCGACTTATATGCTTGTACTAACTACTCGTTAAATCATGCACAACGATACGTTTTATAACATCAAGTTACTGATGCGTTTTCATACCATCAATGCACAACCAACTCGTGGTCAATAACTCATGTATCTTGGTTTGAAGATTATATGATATTATCGTCTCACAATCACTCGTGATAAATTCCATGAAGTGATTCATGTGAGTGTGGGTTTAATCCAATACTCAAATCTTATTTCAAGAGCACTCATGAATGTTGTAGCAAACGTTTGCTATATCTAACACCTTAGACAATCTACAAGCCAATTCATGTCAGTCTAGCCTCATAACCTACTTCCAAAGTATGATCGACTGTGGATAGTTCGAATAATCTTATTATTTCGGAAGTCAAAACATGCAAAAGTGAAACAATAGTAAATAATTGACACAAGATAGTAACTTTACTTATAAAATAAAACTCCTTTTATTCAATCATCAAATGTCAATTACAGTTTAGCTATTACAAGTTTCTAAATATTTATCTAATCACTAAAACTAATATCGTTCTTTAGCCCAATGCCCCTTACATGCTGAAAGTGCTTAACCCTACTCAGTTCCTTCGTAAGGGGATCTGTTGGGTTGTCCTCTGACGATACCCTCTTCACAACGAGGTGTCCTTCTTCTACTTGATGTCTTATGAAGTGGTATTTTCTGTCGATATGCCTGGATCTTCCATGATCTCTCGGTTCCTTGGTTAAGGCGACCTCCCCTTCATTATCGCAGAAAATCTCCACAGGCTCCTTTATGCATGGTACAACACCAAGGTCTCCGATGAAGTTTTTCAACCATATCGCCTCCTTTGATGCTTCGCTCGCTGCTATATACTCTGATTCGCACGTTGAATCAGCTACAGTCTCCTGCTTGGAACTTTTCCATGTTACTGCTCCTCCATTTAGGGTAAACACCCAGCCCGACTGAGAGCGTAAATTATCTATGTTGGTCTGAAAACTGGCGTCACAATACCCTGTCACTCTTAAGTCGTCACTCCCACCGAGGGTCAGGAACCAGTCCCTAGTCCTTCGTAGGTACTTAAGAATGTTCTTTACTGCAGTCCGGTGAGCTATACCAGGGTTCCCTTGATATCGACTAACCATACTCAAAGCATAAGCCACATCAGGGCGAGTACATGTCATAGCGTACATGATTGAACCGACAGCAGAGGCATATGGCACTTTACTCATATCCGCTATCTTTTTCATCAGTTCTCGGACTCTGAGCCTTGCTCAGTTTGGTATTGCTATGGATAGGTAAGTCACCTTTCTTGGAATTCTCCATGTTGAAACGCTTCAACACCTTGTCCAAGTAGGTACTTTGACTAAGTCCTATTAGTCTTTTACTCCTGTTTCTCAATATCCTAATCCCTAGAATGTAAGCAGCTTCCCCAAGGTCCTCCATAGCGAAACACTTCCCAAGCTAGGACTTCACCTCCTGCAAGGTTGGGATGTCGTTTCCTATGAGCAGTATGTCATCTACATACAATACCAAACAGCTAACTATCCTTCCACTATCTTTAATATATACACAAGACTCATCCTCGCTTCTCGGAAATCCAAACTCTTTGACTTTCTCATCGAAATAAAGATTTTATCTGCGAGATTCTTGTTTCAATCCATAGATGTATTTCTCAAGCTTACACACTCTGTTAGGGTACTTTGCATTAACAAAACCCTTTGGTTGACACATGTAACATCTTCAACCAACTTTCCATTAAGGAAAGCGGTTTTGACATCCATTTGCCATATTTCATAATCATGAAATGCAGCTATGGCTAACATAACCCTTATAGATTTAATCTTCGCTACTGGTGAGAAGGTCTCATCATAATCAAATCCATGAGTTTGAGTAAAGCCCTTCGCAACCAGCCGCGCCTTATATGTGTGTACTTTCCCATCCATGCCAGTCTTCTTCTTGAAGATCCATATGCACCCGAATGTCTTGCGACCTGGCACATTGTCAACCAAGTTCCAAACTTGATTGTCATACATGGACTGAATCTCGCTGTCCATGGCCTCTTTCCATTTCGCAGACTCGGGGCCTGTCATGGCTTCCTTGTAGTTATTAGGTTCATCCAGATTTATTAATGTACTATCACTGATAAATGTATCTCCTTTAGCTGTTATATGAAAACCATATAACACAGGTGGAACACTAACTCTATTAAAACGTCTCAGAGGTACAGATTCGTCAATCGGTTCAACAAGAGTTTCCTCCTCGGGTTGAGCGCTAGTGTTTGAGGTTACTTCATCACTTAACTCTTGAAGCTCTTCAATGTCAATTTGCCTCCCACTGTCCTCTTGGCATATGAGTTCTCTCTTGCGAAAGACTCCTCTCCTTGCAACGAAGACAACATTCTCACTCGGTCTATAGAAGAGATACCCACAGGACTTCTGCGGGTAGCCGATGAAAATACGTCGCTCACTGCAAGGTTCGAGCTTGTTGTGAGTCTCTCGTCTTACGAAATCCTTGCAACCCCAAACCTTGATGTGTGCTAACGAGGGAACCTTCCCTATCCACATCTCGTGAGGTGTTTTGGCAACCTTCTTGGTTGGGACTAGATTAAGGATATGGGCGGCAGTCTCTAAGGCATACCCCCAAAATGAGATCGGTAACGAAGCTCGACTCATCATGGAACGAACCATGTCTAACAAGGTTCGATTGCGCCTCTCAGCCACACCATTAAGCTGTGGTGTCCTAGGTGGCGTCAATTGAGAAACAATTCCATATTCCTTAAGATAGTCGTGGAACTCGATACTAAGATACTCACCACCTCGATCGGATCGGAGCATCTTTATCTTCCTGCCCAATTGATTCTCCACTTCTTGCTTAAACTCTTTGAACTTTTCAAAGGTTTCTGACTTATGCTTGATTAAGTAGATATAGCCATATCTGTTGTAATGATCAGTAAAAGTCACATAGAAGCGGTTACCATCCCTTGTGGCGGTTCTGAAGGGTCCACACACATCGATGTGTATGAGATCCAACAAACCTTCACCACTTTCACAAGTACCAGTGAAGGGTGACTTTCTCATCTTTCCAAGCAAACAAGATTCGCAAGTGTCATCCGACTTCAAGTCGAATGACTCCAAGACACCATCCTTTTGGAGTTGGGCTATGCGCTTCTTGTTGACATGTCCAAGACGACAATGCCACAAGAATGCCTTGTCCAAACCATTGGACGAATCAATATTCAACACATTATTTCCTAGGTTATCTACAACCATCACAGTTTCATATATACCATTACAAGGCAATGCTTTAAAAATAAAATACACCATTAAAGAAAGCATTAAATAGAACCAATTTCATTATCAAATGAAAATCTAAAACCTTGTTTATATAAACCATGAAAAGAAATAATATTTCTTACCATATCCGACGAGTAACAACAATTATTCAACTCTAAATTTAACCCACTACTAAGAAATAAAGAATAAACTCCAATCTTTGTGACATGCGACACTTTCCTATTTCCCATGATTAAGTTTATCTTCCCGTGCTCCATATCCGTACTTCCTTTTAGTCCCTGCAAATCAGAACAAATGTGAAATCCACAACCTGTATCAAGGACCCAAGAATTAGCATGTGACGAGTTACTAGAAAGAATAGTGTAAATACCTGCGAAGGTGGGCTTTATCTTCCCATCCTTAATGGCCTGCAAGTATTTGGGGCAGCTTC